ATAGATAGATAGATAGATAGATAGATAGATGTTGCAGTATCTATAACAACCCAAACACACAGGATTTCAGAATTAGACATCCCTAGTTATTAATTTCATACACTCACCAGATCTGAAAGCCCTGTTAAAAAACCTCACACCCATGAGTAGAGGTAATGCAGCCTGATACCGTTCCCCCCATGTTAAGCAGGGGCAACACTATCTGACGGGGTTTATAGGCCTGTCAGATAGCATTACCGCCCAATGTCATTTACGTTAAGTTGCAATAAATAAAACTCTCTGCAGGTACATGTCTTTGTCGTCCACTCTATTCAGCTGGCGAGGGTTACGGGGGTGAGAAACACAAAAGTAACGCAATAGTCACTTTTACTAATAACTAATTACTTTTATTGTGGAGTAACTATTTTGTTTATCTATCAAATAAATGGAGAATGAAAGATTTAATGTATAATGACTTCAAATGAAAACTCACCTAATTTGTTTGGGGTTAATTACTGTATATATTGATGTCTTATTGGGCTGTCTTCATGTCCACTGCATTATTCATAATGGTAAATTTTTTGTACCGTAGTTGTGCTATTTAAACCTTAAATCAGTGTCGGTACTGACTCTAAAGTTGTTGGGATGTCTGCAGATGTGGGACTGTCGAGTAAACAAGTGGCTGTGCAACTTCCATGCCTATGTAGCAAGTTGAAGCTAATCTAGATACAGACTGCAGTTTTATTATAGGAAATGATGCAAGCGACTTATCACTCAGAAACTGTTCCCATTCCATAGTCAGATGCCTTAGGAGGCTAACCTGATGGGTCGCCATGGATTTTAAGCCCCATGAAAAGATAACTCACTGAACCCCAGTTTTCATGACAATGTTCTCTGCAGCTTGCCGATTGGCAGCAACACCAGGTCCTTTGGCAGGAAATATGCTAGAGAGTTTAAGTAAGTAAGGGTGGTGGCTGGCGCTGCCTCTGATTTCCATGGGTTTGGATGAAAACTGGCTTGCTTTTTATAGCAAGTGCCGGGTGGGGTCATAGGGTATGTGTGGCTCATAGCATTTGCTTTGTGGAAGTTGGGTGCTCAAAAGGACAGTGAGAAAGAAAAACAAAACAGCAAGAGGGGGTAATAATGGAAGAGAAAGTCATCCAAAACTGCTGATAAGTCCAACAAAGAGAAAAAGAACAAAGATACAAAGCTTTTTCTTTTTTTTTTCCTTCTCTGTCATTTTCTCTTTGTACTTTAGAAAGTGCATCAGGAACAATCAATATCTTTCTGAGAATTAATAACAAACACACAAGAGAGCTGCCAAGAAGTGACAGACCAGCATGCTGCTCCATCACATTCTCAGGAAATACCTCTGTCTAAGGCTCGAGCTTTAATCATACAGTGTGTTGAAGTGCATCTCATATGTGGTTCTACTCATGTGTATAAGCATGTGTGTAACTGTGTTATACTCAGACAAGTCAAAAGGTTAGAGTAATTCACACTGGAAGAAAGTCTGGAATGCTGCACTTTTTTTCTCATGCCAATATAAGCAGTATGACAAAGTCCCTGAGGGAACAGTAGGCTGCACGGCCAAACACAAGTTAACACATGAGCCCCTCTGAGTCATACAGGGATTCTTCCTTCTAAGCAGATGGATCAGAAAGCACCAGTCAAGCCCTGTTCTCCAGGAATTGATGATAGATAGATAGATAGATAGATAGATAGATAGATAGATAGATAGATAGATAGATAGATAGATAGATAGATAGATAGATAGATAGATAGATAGATAGATAGATAGATAGATAGATAGATAGATAGAATGCACATCCTATCTCAATACAAAGGGTTTGTTGCATATTTGCAATGATTGGTATCAAGATTTGATATCACCGCTTTCACATTTAAGCAAAAGAAACCCCCAATAGTATTCAAACAGGAAATGTATGAAGTGTAGGTATAACAGAGTCAGATAATTTGCAAGAATCCCAGTTGAGACAACAGCAAACCTCTAATTCATCACCACAGCTTTTGCATTTCTCCATTTTTATTAAGAAAAAGTTTTGTCTCCTCTCTTATGGTGGGATGTATCTCATGCATGTACTTATGCAAATACACAGTCGTTTATGAACCCGGACATCAAGTATGAAGCTAGGGTTTCTCTTATCTAGGGTTTCTTAATCTTCTTTAGGAAGATTAACCACTAACAAATGTGGCTTCAATTCAAGGGTGTGACTTTTTTATTAGCGATTATTTTAATGAATCAATATTTATGGATTCTTTTATTTATATCCCTAATTATGGCAAGTTTGGTTGTTGAAGGTTACAGCCATTTGGGACATAATCTATCATCACTTTTTCTCTCATGACGTGCTTAAGCAGTAATGTAAACAAAGAGCAGTAACACAATGCATGCATTATTTATGCAATGCTTTTCAATATATGTCAAAATATTTGCCATCAAATGTAGTTATTTTATTGTTGGCTTTGTTAAATATAAATGGTAAAGTTGAGTCCATTACCTGCAATTATTACTGTATTATCTACATTACATTACTGGTTGCTACACACTTGACACCTGTGCCTGTAGCTTTTCTGTTGATTGTAAATTCTTTTAGAACAGAGACAGTTATACATTTAATGAAACTGTCTCTCTTTGCTTCAATTTTCGATCAGCAAAAATAAAAAAAATCAATTTTTTTCCATGACTGCTTTATAAAAGAAAAGATTTCTTTGAGTCTGTAATTGTTGTATAATTAGTTTTAAACTTTATGTAATTGAAAACACATGGCAATGAGAAAGCTCCTGAAGACATGCCTTTGCTTTGGCAGCTGATAAAGTGCTAACTTTAAATGCTGATGCTATACAACTATAATTCTTTATATTTGGCACCAGAACAGAAAAAATATCCACATTTAATCTTTGGCTAGCTCCTTCCTGACCTGCGTCCTGTCAATCATTGAGAAAATACTTTATGCCTGTGCAAAATCCTGTGCAGAAACCGTTAGGGGCACAGCTAGATAATACAAACTTCTACTGGAAGGTCTCCCTAGCATGTAGGGCACTGTAATGAAAAAACAACAGTGTATCTTGGTAGCTGATCACAGCTCTAAGGTTTCTACTAGGGGCTAGCTACTGTGTTTCAGTTCCCAGGATTCTCGGCTATACTTCTCAGCAAGGCTTACTACCAGGTAGCCGAGCATGGGCACTATGACCCTGAAGATACAGTTACAAAACAACGTAAGAGGGCAGCATAACAGAAACATGTCGCAGTTGTTTTTAACCAAGAGACAAAGAGGGGGTTCTTAATGAGGATAAGGCTGGGTTTACTTTTGAAAGGTCTATTGAGTTGGATTTCTGTTTTTAGATATAAAGATGTTGATACAAATACATTTCATAACAGTTCATAGAGTGTAAGTTGCAAATATAGACAGCAAAAGTTGGTTTGAGGTATTAAAGTATTTAGCACCTAGTCCTAAGAAAAAAAAAGCTTTAGAGTACATAGTAATTGTAAACTAAACCTCCCACACAGCGCATATAGAAAAGAAGCCTGTAACCAAACCAACAAGGCCTCAGCTGTTCCATATATGCAGTAGAGTGTTTCTAATGTGGCTTTTGGAATTCTTGCAAAAAACATTTTCAGCACAAAACATTTAAAGCAAGACACTGATGAGTGTTTTGATTTTTTTTACATTAATTTTGTATATTTTTGCACTGGAGAGAGAGAACCACCCCCCACCCCCCCAAAAGCATTTGTAGGTCACCCTGGTAAAGAAAAGGACAGGGATTTTCGATAGTGTGCTGTGAAATGTCAGGCTTAATAGTGGCCACAAGAAAAGCCCACTCATGCCAGCTACAATAAATCAGCCACAGAGTTTAACAGAAGCTATTGTAATTATTTCCTCCCATCCACTCTTAACCATGAATGCTTTTTTTGCTTAGTGTCATAAAACATTACCCTGGCTTCCCGTTCAAAAGCTCTGCTTTCTACATAGTGAAAGCTTGTTTAAAAGGTATTTTGGAGGGTTCTTGAGAATTGTTAAAAGACCCGCCCTCTCTACTTAAAAAAAAAAAAAAATGCATATGCACCACCCTGTACCGGCTCCAGAGAGGGAAACCCCTGTGAAAGTGTGCACAAGCCCATTTCTGCTCGTGAATGTTTAAAACTTGCTTTTCTCATAGCTCATAAAAGCTTACTGCGTCCAAATGTCCACCCTAATCCCTCAATCACCACATACTGTATATAGCTGGGAGTATATAGTGGACATAACAGCGAACTCAGTTAACTTACTGTTTGGACAGATGATCACCACTTTTTGTTTCCTGTTGGTCACGCAACTCCACCTCCAACATGAAGTACCTGTGGCATCATTGTTATTAGTCGCCACTGTCGGTAGCGAGAGCCTATGGCGACAGCGTGACGCTGTGACAGCAAAACCCATAATACTTTGCAAAGAGAGCTCTCCACTCAGCATTCCAAGATATATCTGCCTCTTCTGAGGCCTTTCTTTTCTTTGCAGACACGTTTTTATCTTATGACCCTCGGTCATTTCCAAAGAACCTCGGTAAGAAAGGTGAGCTTCAATTACTCTCTGAAACCTAAGCTTACCACACATATATGCCTGAAAGGCCGCATGCACAGAAAAAGATAACTACAGGGACGACCATGTAGGACGGCCTTACGTAAACAAATAGGAGGACCACTTATTCAGATGATCTAACTTGTTTTATTTTTAAGCACTTTGTTCAGCAGCACATAAGTCAGGAAGCATCCTCACGCTCTCTTTAGTTCCACAAGGGAGCGCGGCAGATGCCCACTTTAAACAAGTGGAAGAAGCAGAACAAAGTGTTTACTCTGAGTAGATGTTTGAAAAATAATCTTTATCAACAGCACAGAATTTTTTTTTATTCTGTTTGTTCTGATCAAAATGTAGAAATCATGTAACAAATAAATTCTATTTGTTTAATTGTATTGTCATTTTATTGTAGTTATTTTTTTTCCCCCAGAATAATTTGTTAAGTTGGAAACTTATTCAAATTTTTTTTATAAATTCTATTTGGTACAATGTATTAGATTGACTAGTCTTTTGATGGATATAGATTTACAAATTAATTCTTACTTACACATTAGATAAAATGTCTCATTTTGAAGTAAAGGCATTTACTGTCAAGGCTAAGAACAGAGGAGGCAAACAGACAGGCTGATTTAAAAACAAAGGATCTGCAGGGACGTCTAAGCGTCAAAGTCATTGGCCAGAGGAAGAGGTGGATTCCGGCAAAACTGCTGCCAACACCATGTGGCGAATGCTGCACAGAGAGTTCCAGATGCTGAATCCTTGAAGACTGCTGAACTGGATGACGAACAGATCCAAGCAGGTGAAGGAAGGCTGAACTATCTAGAAGGTGAAGCCAAAGCTGGTGTCGATGAGGTTCACAGGAGTCCGAGCCAGAAGATCCAAAATCCGAAGAAAAAAGATAGGGAAATCCAGGTGGAAGTCAGGAAGCATATCCAGGTTCAGTCAGCAGGCTGAATCCAGCAGGAGTCCAAAGAAAGGTTAGAAAAACTGATCAGAACAGGAACAGGCAGACTCAGAGGTCCAAAGGCAGAACGGGTCAGGATCAGGATCATGTAACCAGAACAAAAACAGATGCTCAAGAGAACTCTCACCGAAGCCAAAGGCTCGAATAATCTGGCACTGATGAATGGGAGCAGGCAGGTTAAATAAAGACTGGAGCAAGTGACACAGGTGATGAGAAATTGGGTGGATCTAGACAGGTGAATGTAATGAACAAACAAGCCAGTCATCAGCACCATGATCATGACACCCGACTTAAAAAACCCCCAAAACATTTGGAGTTAAACCATTTTATATTTAATGATATTTTATATGCAGACAGCTTTACAGAAGCGATCACAGCTTGCTTTCAAATTAAATGTTTGTTTCCCAAAAAACTCTTAGATGTCAGGGATCCATTTTGTGTGGGTTGTTTTTGTGTTTTCTCTCTCCACCACCAGATGGTGCCCTGTTCCTCGTTGGGCCTCCCTGCACACCTGCGGCTCGTTGGATTATTACCGGAGGAGTATTTGAGCAGCGGGCTGTCACTACCTTGACGCAAGAGTGTTTGCCAATTTGGGTACTCTAGCCAAGCTGAGATGAGCAGAGTCTAACCTAAGCTCTGTTTCTCTGAGTCTAATCTTGTTTTTGTCTTTGCTCTTCGGCAGGAAGCCTTTCCTGTGCAACTGGATAACCTGGACCTTCTCCCCCTGGAAGGATTACTGAGTACACGCTGAGCAGGGGTAAACCTCCATAAGAACCGTTCAAGTCCTCATCGGGAAACCAAGTGACAGGCCGCTCCTTTACTCCTCTGTGTCCAACGTATGTCTACCTGTTCGCTCTCCAACAAGTTCCCTCTCCTCTGGATTAATTCCCCACAAACTGGATTCAAGGATTAACAAGAGCCCCCTCAAACGTGAGTTTATCTCCAGCTATATTTAAGCCTCAGTCAATTTTCCTACGGTCCCTGAACTGATCACTGAGACCTGTCCTTTAGACTTTCCGGTTCCGGTTCACCAGTCCACTGAGTTCAAGCTCCTACTTCTGTGTTTCACCAACATTCAATAAACCTGTTAAACTTTTTCCCTCGGTCTCTGAGTGGTTCTCTGCATGTGGGTCAGATCGCTAAAACCAATCATGACAATAGATCAGTTTTCCTATTGGTTGACCCTCTGCGTCAAGCTGCAAAACTTCATATTTCTGAAATCCAGCTGTCTGAAAGACTGAAACAGGTTCAAATATAGTCCAGAAGTCAGGGTAAATATTTAGAAATAAAATCCAAAATCACCACGTAACATAACGCAAACTGCTTTATTGTTGTACGCTGGAATACAGTTTAGCAACAAGGTACATCTATGTGACCCACCTGTTCAAAGACAGGGTGTGGGATTTGTTTGTATATGCGTTGCTTTAAGCAGCAAAAGGAGTTATACCTGTGATGTAGCCTACGTATCTCTTCTGAAAGCTTAACTTAAAACCACCTTGACTTAATGAATTGGTGGTAGAACCAAACGTGACGGGATCTAATCATTCATTAGATGAATGCATGGAATACTTATTCATTAACATAAAATAATAATAATTATTATCTATCTCACATTGCAGAAATTTACCTCTGCATTTAAACCATCCCCTTGAGTAGTGGAGCAATCAGGGGTTAAAAGAATTGCTAAGAGACCCAGAGTGCAGCAGTAAGGATCGAACCAGGTACTTTCAACCTTCCCAGAGCACAAGCGCACTGCTCTAACCCACTAGGCTAACACTCCCATTTCTAATAATTTCCCACGAAATACTAATTTGTGTGCACGGAGAACTTTGTGTGGATATGATAAGAGCGTTTTTAGGGGTTTAGCCATATCTTTTTCTATTTGAAACGCCCTGGGAGGCTAAAGTCATGCATTTTTCCCTCTACGTTCATCCTTGGTCCAGGGCAGCACTGAATACATTTTATTTCACACTCAAGGTTTCACTGACTACAGGTAATGGAGAATCAACTTCCAAATCACCCTGTCTTTAGCTATGAAAACCAGTGAGGCCTAGAACTTCAAGGGGTGAGCCTATAGGCTTCATACGACCCTATCGCTGGTGGGTTAAAGGCAGAGCAGAATACTGTATATTCTATATGCATCAGTCTAGAATGCAAACAAGGTATATGCTCACATTCTGCCTTTATCATTTATAAATATGCGCTCTGAGGCTCCCTGTGTAGCCAAATAACAGAAGAGAAATAATTGCTGGTCAGGTCACAGCCATAGATCCCTGCTAATGTGAATGATGAAGACAAAGGTTACAACTAACAGTAAAAAGAGCACGAGAACAGAAACTGATAAAGAGCTGCACCATACATAAACACACATCATACCAAGCCCTCCATATGTAAAGCAAGAAATAATCTCCGACCATTTGAGGTTTGATGAAACTCAGCTACAGTTAATGTTCCAGAATTCACTCTGTGGTGTTCTAGGATCCAAGTCACCTTAGGCGATATGTTATAGTTTTTTTTTCTTTCATTTCAAAGCTTTTCACTCTAAAAGAAAAGGTTGTTTCTCTTCTCTTTCTTCTCAGCCTGCATCTTCTCTAGATAAGTGATCATATCTGCCACATTGCTACAAACTGCAGCTGGTTTTAGAATGTGATTAATATGAGACAAGCAATGAATGCACTTATTTACTTCTTAATTGGGCATCCTTTCCTCCCTATATTGGAACTTGAGTTGAAACAGAAAGTGTTTGAGACAAATATCAATTGGACAGAAGCAGGTGTTATTTTACAGCATAGTCCCGCACACATATCGGTACATGTGGTCATCATTCATACGCGGCTGCTTATATGTCTCACTAATGAGAACTAATCAGAATCTTTTTATAGTTTATCCTACACCTAAAATCAAACTTGATTAGACTATCATTTATATCATGCTGGTTTGTTCTCTGTTCCTCTAACACCACAACAGTTGGGCTGTAGGAAGATAATGTTTTAGTGTTTTGTGCGCACTATCTGCTGTTGCCACAAATAAGTGAGAACAAGTTGAGGAAAAATGAGTTTTTAGAGGTTACGTATTTTGTGCACATGTCACATCAGAAAGTCTACTAGCAAACAATACAGCTCTGCAAGCAATTCCTACGTCAACCATCACTGACACTAATGAGCTGATATACTGCACAGCAGCAGTGATTCTAGAGATGATTCGCTGTTAGAACAACCATGTAATGAAATACCCACTGGCTGGAGGATAATATCAAGGCAACAAGAAAAGAAGTGGCCAGCCACCTACAGAGATACACTCCTGATCAAAATCTTAAGACCAGTCAAAAAAATTGCAAGAATTTGCATTTTGCACTATTGGATCCTAAGAAGGTTCAAAGTAGAGCTTCACAATGTTAAAGGAAAAAATCAGTGCAAGAGACAAGAACTTTTGAGCAGGGAATTTTCTGAAAACTGCATTTACACTCAAACATTATTTTTTCAGCTGATCAAGTTTAAGACCATAGTCTTTAAAAGCCAAAAGATGTGCAAAAATCTGGATTCCGTGTCATTTTCTGTCAAGTCTTTACACTGTCAAGACCTCCTGATGGCAAAAGCAAAAAAGCTCACTGACTTTGAACGTGGTAGGATTGTTGAGCTGCATAAGCAAGGCCTCTCACAACATGCTATCACTGCTGAGGTTGGACGCAGTAAGACAGTCATTTTGCATTTTTTAAATGATCCTGAGGGTTATGGAACAAAAAAGTCAAGTCTAAGACCCAGAAAAATTCACCAGCTCTGAGCCGCAGGATCCGATTGGCTGTCCATCAAGACACAGGACGATCCTCTACCCAAATTAAGGCCATTACTGGTGCTGACTGTAGCCCAATAACCATCAGACGGCATCTGTAAATGTAATGCAATGTACATTTTTTAATAAAAATTTTTTTTATTTTTATTTTAAAAGTGATTTTTGAAGTAGGGAACAACAATAGTTTGGTATACAAACAATTTCCTGAGTCCCATATTTTAAAAAACACCTGAATGGACTGTTTGTTATTTTCTTTCTTTTTTCTGGCTTAATGAGAGCAGTGGTCTTTAGGCTGCCCTGCAAGGCTTTAAACCTGGGTTTGAATGGTGACAAAGCCATTCTCAAGCACATATCAAAGTGTTTATTTTGGGCCTGGATCCATATTTATTTTTGATTCTGTTCATGGTGGAGAATCTTGCTTCACAGCAGCAGGTTGAGTCAAACATACTCTAAATGCGCAGGGTCCGGCCAGGTCAAGATCTGCTATTGCAATCGCACCAAACAGGAAAAAGAACGGCGAGAAGATCTGGGTTGTCAAATTAAATATAGTAACAACAGATCAATATCTACAAATCAGTGCATAATTCTTATATATTTAAAAAAAAAACTAACACCGTTTATTTAAAAGATTAGATGCAAACTGTTGGTACTTCAACAGACCAGGAAGCAGATTTCTTATCTCCATCAGAAACCGTATATGTGCTGGATGCTGATGAGGATTTTTTTAATATATCATATTAAATTAAGCATTAATTTCTGCATGTTTTGCTCCTACGAATTTAATGATAATATCACACATGCTCTCCTCGAGCTCCGAGGATAACTCTGAGCCCAGCAATACGGGAGGAACAGCGGAGGCTGTAGGTTTTGTTTTGCAGGACGTCTGGAGCGCTGCGGGGCGGAGCAGAGACGGAGGATGTGGGATTTTGGGGTAACAGGAGAAGTGGCGCAAGTGATGTTAAGACACTGTTGTCAGACAACATGCAGTAATTTATAAATGTTTTAAATTAGGTTGGGTCCTGATTAGCCAGCAGGTGGATCCAGATCCGGACCACGGTCCACTAATCCGTGACCTTATAGTATCCCCACCAACCTTCAGATTTGAGATCTTCGTATTGAGCCTCTGTGACGGCCTGACAACAATGAAGCCTTTGACATTGTTTGCATAAATGATTCATGCCTATTTGCTACAGTATCTATACTAATTCAACTATTAATTTGAGACACTGAGCTTTCCAATTAGTTCCAGCTGTGTTTGGTTTTCCTCAGTTTGGGATGTACGTATAGGCCTGGCAAGGCAAGGCGATTTTATTTGTGTAGAACAATTCAATACATGGACGATTCAAATTGTTTTACATGAATTACATAATAACATAGAAGGAAAATAAAAGCAGAATTAAAGCAAAAACATTTGTAATACAAATAAAACAATCGCATCACAGAAAAAAGGAAAGGTGGGAAGTATCAAGTCTGCCCATGGGTTAACAGATTTTAGACTTTTTCTTCTGCCCGCAAGTTTTGAAATTTGTTCCTACCACTAACATTTAGTGTAAAAGCTGATCAGTTTTTAATGCATGAGACCCTGGTGTTTTAATTCAATCGAGAATGCAACTGGATCTATTTTATTGTACATTGAGGTATAATGATAATTGCAGGCGTTCTGTAAAAAAAAAGAAAAAAGCATAAAGAAAACATTTGCTTTTCCCATTCCCAAGCACACCTCCCACTCAGTAGAGGTGCTGAGGGAGACTGAAGAGAAGATCTCCAATAAAAAGAACAGGTGAGACGTGGATCTCTGAGTTTCTTCATGGCATTTCTTACAAGACAATTAAACAATGAGGCCTTTATAGATTTTCTCCATTGCTCTATCCGATTATATCTTTACACGTCAGGAGCTCCATGTAATTTTACAATGGAAACCAGAGTGGATAACATGTTTCCACAGTCTCAGGGTAGGATGGTAGTTAGGAAAAAGTGATTGTGACAGGTGTTGATAGAAAGATCAGAATTACACATGTGTGCAAGTTTAGAAAGTTAACACTGTGTCAGCATCCCCTACCTTGACAGACTGAGCTCTAAACTCTCTATTTGATTTGGTTTGAGTGGTGAGTTCCAACCTTCTTTAACTCCTAGACACATTTTTGAACGAAGACAAAGGAAAATATTTCTGAGTATGGATAATTGGCAAGCTAGTTTAGAAATTCCTGGAAGAAAGTGCTTTGATATTTTAAACATTCAGCAGTTCAGTTTTTTTTTCTGTGAAGGACAAGCAATTCTAAGAACTTTAAAAGAAGGA